TGTCGTTAATTTTATCCGACACAGAAAATTTTGATGAAAAAAAACTCTGAAACAGATTGTGGTTTGTTATCAAGTTGCTTTCAAATCTTGATTTGATGGTCCACAAAAAAATTTGTCTGCTCCGCTCTTAATCTTAAGACCAGACCAATATGGAGCAGCTAAGACCATAAACCATTAAAGACCATACCTGGACGACCATAATAAACACCAAACTGTTACGTAACATTTCTAACTGAACTTAACAGTAAAGAATTATTAATTGATTTTTCTCTTTCAAAAATAATTTAAATATTGGATTTGTTCACTAAGGCCATATGAAATTAGATTTCCAAAAAAATTTAATAATCTTTTTAGCCGATTCAAATTCTGCTACAAATCGCAAGTCCTTATATGATTAAAATTTTAGTCTGCTAACTAGAGATGCGGTAGAAACTATTCCGTAACTATTTAAAGCTTATATTGTAACTAGTTACGGCATAAGTTTCTGCTGCATCTCTAGTACTAACAGATTAATCAATTACAATCCTATAGGATAACTTTCTTCTAACTGGTCAATCACTTACAATTGTATTTATATAGTTTAGAGCATTTTTAAGAATATAACATTTCTATTTTCGAAAGGGCATGTAATACTATGTAAAAAGTATATAAAACCTTATGATATTTATAAGTGAAATTTATATCGTGACTGTATTATATTATTAAACTAGATTTTAAGTCCTGCGAAACACTTATTAACCGGGTCACGGATACTGCTATCCGGCCGGATTAATTACCTACCTGTACATAGCCATAGTTAGTGTTGCCATTTAGTCATATCCAACTTTATGACCCAAGTGATCATATTAGTGTAATAGTAAATTTTACAATAAACTGTTAAAAACTATTAAAAATTGTCCAAAAACCATCTTTGTCATAAGATCATAACTTACAGTTGCCAACAGATCATAACAAATCATATGGCCAAAGTTGGCAACATCAATAGATAGTCCAGTGCTCTTGCATGCTATCCAAGTTTACAATATATTAGGTCGACGGTATGTAAGAATTACAGCATTCTGTATCAAATTACACAATATATACTAAATAACAAACATTATTTACATTGTTTTATTAGTAAGTATATTTCATAATTAAATAGTAATATTTAGAAATATGGTATTTTGTAATTTGTTTCAGAATATGTAACATATTTCTAAACATTTATAAATACGGATACATAGAGGTTCAAGTCCCTTATGAAGCGTGAAGAGAGCAAGATAATTTACGACACGAGACAAAATAATTTATGAAAATGGGTTACCAACACTCAAACTATTTCAAAGTTTATGACTGCCTACTAACCAAAATATTCAAACCAGGGAAGATAATCTTGTCAACTCATGGTTTACCTCCACAAAATATACCTCTAATCGAGGTTAAGTATTCTTGTCAACTCATGGTTTACCTCCACAAAATATACCTCTAATCGAGGTTAGATACTCCATCACCAGAAGAATCCGAACTAAAAACTCTCAAGATTAGAATTTACCCAACTCTATCTGAGGATGCAATACTTTGCAGATGGATGGACAGAGTTCGATGGACTTATAATAAAATTATCTAGCTGCACTTTTATGACAAGCTTAACTATAAGCAAGTTAAAGCAAACTGCCTACTACGTCGAACGTAATCCAAATGTACAATGGCTGTTGGATACTCCTAGGGAAACTAGATCATACGCAATTCGACAATACAAGTTTGCATACAAGACACAACTGGTAAAAGGTTCAAAATGAATTACCGAAAGAAAAAGGATACACAATCAATTGCTATTCTAGCACGTGATTATAATAGAAAACGCTTCTCAACATATTATTACATCACAACCTGTACCCGGAGTTAAAATACCGTCATCATCACCAGAAATAGATGTGGGACAGCGTTGTCAAACGGTTGTCTATTGATAATTGTCACGTCCTTTTATTATACTATTTATCACGTCACGTAATAAATAATACAATAAAAGGATGCGACAATTACCAATGAATAAGCCGTTTGACAACACTGGTTTGAGGAACATGATAACCAAACCCACGGATAATAAGCATAGATCCGGAGTACATTCTCCACATGTTATGACTCACGAGGTAAAATCGTCTAGTGGGGTAAAAATGACTTTGATAGAATTGTGTAACTATTTAAAAAAGCAGATAAATACAAATCCAAGGCGGACAAGAAAATTGGTAAAAGGTATAAACGAACAAAAAAACAAGCTTAGGAAAAAAGACCACGTATTTTTCCGCAATATGGTTTCTAAATAGCGCCACAAACATGCCCTATGGTTGGTGAAAAATTACCAAACCATTTTACTTTCAAAATTTGAAACCTCACGGATGGTGAAAAAAATCAATAGTAGTGAGGAAGCGTACACTTCAAAGACTTGCGAAGCATGTGGTTGGCGAAATCAATGTTTAAGGAAAAGCAAAGACTGCGGAATAAAAATGGATAGAGACTTTAATGATGCTAGAAATATACTATTAAAGTATCTATCCGAGCAGACCTTCTGACAAGGGGAACTTGAACCTCTAATGTGATCCATGTTTATTTATCGATATTTAATATTGACTAATAATATTGGATCTAACTTTATAGCTGTTCTCATAAATTCTGGGACAACTGATAAAAATTGATCGGCGGCCGAATTCGATAAGTTCTTGAATTCGGTGTTATCAGATTACTGTCATGCCGAAA